TACACTGAAATTACACACAACATGGGTGGATCTCACAAAATATAATATTGAGTGAAAGAAGCCAGACAGAAAAGATTACGTAGAGAATGATTCCATGATTACATTGAATCTATGCTGTTAGAAGTCAGGATGGTGGTAAAACAAAATATAAACAAAGGTGAGATGTGGTAGTGCGCACCTGTAATTCCAGCCTGTAATCCCAGCACTCAGGAGGCTGAGGCAGGAGGATCACTGCGAGTTCGAGGTCAGTTTGAGCTACAAAGTGAGTTCAAGGCCAGTCTAAATTATATAGTGAAACTCTGTCTAAAAAGGCGCTGGTTACCTTTGGGGGGAAAATAATGAGTGGAAAGGGAAATAGAGGGACTTTGAGAGAACGATCAGCAGGCATGGTGGTGCACGCCTGTAATCTTAGCACTCGGGAGGCTGAGGCAGGAAGATCATTGCAAGTTTGAGACCAGCCTGGGCTACAAAGTGAGCTCAAGGCCGGCCTGCACTGCATGGCAAGACTCTTTCTCAAAAAGACCAAAAAAATAAAAATAGAGACAGAATAGTTACCACTTCTTGTCTACAAATTTCACACTCACAGATTCAATCTAATGTGGATCAGAAATATTAGGAGAAAATACTGCATTTATACTAAATACTTATTTCTTGTCATTATGTCCCAAACAGTGCACCTGCTTATATAGCATTTATATTTCATTAGGTATTATAGTCATCTGGGGATGATTTAAAGTATATGGGAAGGTGTAGGTTGTCTGCCAGTTCTACACAATTTGATATGAGAGACTGGACCATTTATAGATTTTTGGTATCCATGTGTGTCCTAGAACCAATCTCCATCAGATACTGAGAGCTTCTTTCAGTGCACAGTTTCTTGACAACAGATGGGTGGGTCTGTTTATGACAGTTCTTTGATCTGTGTACTTAATGTTGCGTACACTTTTCCCTTATGTGATATGCTGTGCACTTTTCTGTATAATCAGTAACATGTTTACTTTATACACGTGTGTATTAGATGACTGGGAACAGCTGGGCCTCTGGCGGTGTATCTCAAAGCCGGACTTACTACCTCAAGCCATGCCACTGAACCACAGTATCACCGGCAAGCAGGAAACGGCAGCTTTCCCCACTGGCCACTGCCAGTCTGCTGTCTGGGCACCTGATCCTACTGCAGCTTTCTCCTTGCCCCTTCAATTTCTCACTCTGTTTGAGCCCTCTATTAAAGCTGGGGTGAGCCGGCAGGGTAGCACATGCTGTAGTCCCAGCTACTTGGGAGGATGAGTTGGAGGATTACTTAAACCCACAAGTTCAGGACCAGCCTGCACAACATAGTGAGGCCCTGTGTCAAACAAATTGAAGTCTGGGGTGGATACCTTTGTTAGATAGCACATAGCACAAGCTCTCTTCCTTGCTGGAAGGCGAATGGGAAGGCAGATGACCAGCTTTTGCAGTGGGCAGTGATATCAGCCAGACATGGAAACCTAGTTGACAGGTTGGTGTTTTATACTTTAGGCAGCCATAAAAAGGGACATTTTTTTTAATTACTTAAGTTTATTGGTGCATTTTAGGTATCCATAATGATCAGAATCATCACAGGAAATTTACCTGTACAGGATATATCTAGATTTCTTCTTCCATTCTTTTCTCCTCCCTTCAACTCCTCTTCCCCTCCTTATTTACAAAAACTTTGTTCCCATTTTTTCCTTTTCAGAAAGGGATACCTTTGAGGTGAATATTTAAAAAATCAATAGGATGTGCATTTCAATGTTAGGAGCAATGGACAGGTAGAGGTAGAAGTTGAAGAGAATGTGGCATTCAGGTCCAGTGGAATCAGGCATAGCCAGATCAAAGGGTGTGTTCTGGGAAAATGGTTTGAGAGACTGAGAAGGACTAGGATAGGACAAGATGAAGGGTTACTTTAAAAGTCAGGGGGAGGAATTGAATATGGGAATTTGGGATCCAGTAAAAGGTTTAGAAGAAGAGAACTAAGAGGAAGTAGTACTTAAGGACTGCTAATCTGGCAGCACTTTTAGGGGGCATGGAGAGGTACCTGTAGTAATTTAGAAGTGGTGTGGTAGATTGGGAGTAGAAATGAAATGTGAAAAAAGGATGTAAGAGAGTTTGAAGGAAAAAAATCAGTAGGACTTGTTGAAGACCACGAGGTCGAAGCTCTTTCCAAATCATCTGAGCCAGAGTTCCTGGCCCTGCCTTTCATCTAGAGAGGAAGTGGAAGAGTGGATTTTAGTTTTGAAACTGTTGCATTTGAGGTCATAGGTATTCAACTGAAAGTGACCCCTGTGCAGTGGGACTCGGAGACTAGGAGTGGAGGTAAAAAGGTTATGAAGGGGCAAGAGTGAGCTCCTGACAGGCCAAGTAGAGAGATGACCTGGAATCTGACTGCATGCAGTAGCTATGACCCAGAACCTGTGCCTTCTGCTTCAGAAAGCTTCACATCTCCCACCTGCAAACACCTCTTTGCTCTTACTGTTTTATACAGTTGTCTTTCTGCTCCTCTATTATCTTTGGAAAGTAAGTAATTAACACATGAAAGGCTTTTCTTGGTTATTTATTAATAGTTTTAAATTCAAAAAATAGTTTTAGGGCCAAGTATTTAGCTCAGCCACAGTAAGCATCTGCCTGGAAAGCTCAAGGTCGTGAGTTTGATCCTGGGTACCAAAAAAAGTAGTTTTAAACACAAGGAGACTATGCTGAAGCTAAAAGGATTTACTTATTTTTATTTAAACTTAATTGTTTTAGAGGATGGTGGTACATGCCTGTAATCCCAGCTACTCCAGAATCTGACGCAAGTCTGAAAGTTTGAAGCCAACCTGGGCAACTTATGTGAGATTTTGTCTCTAAATAAAGTTTATTTATTTATTTATTTATTAATATATTTATTTGGTTGATTGGTTGGTTTTTTTTTGAGACAGGATCTCACTATTTAGTTTAGTTTGGCCTCAAACTCTTGATCCTCCTCTCCTGGCCTCTGAAGTGCTGAGACCACAGGTGTGTATCACCACACCTGGCTCAAAATAAAAATTTTAGAAGGGTTGCTTAGGATTATGGTTCAGTGGCACAATGCTTTCGTAGCACACACAGTGTGTGGGCCCAATCCTCAGTACTAAAAACAAAGAACACACAAAAAACTATAGGCTAGTACCTCTAATATACATAGGTGCAAAAATTCTCAATAAAATACTAGCAAATCAAATCCATGCATGTATTGTCTCACAAAGACCATTCCTTATCATCGATATATCCCAAGCATGCAAGGACACCTCAGAAGCCAGGGGCTTTAAACCACACTGAGGGAGACAGCATATGAAAAAGCAAAACTCTGGTTGATTAAAAAATTGTGAGTTGGAGTTCTCTGCATCATTGCAAGGCAGCTTTGGATTTGCATGACAGGTCCATTTCATATTGTACTTAGAAAACAATGGCAATAAAACCTACTTAAGTCTCACAAGGTCTTTTTGAGCCTTAGAAAATACATTTAGTCACCATCAGTAATCACAAGCTCTCATGTACTGTTCTGGCTTTAAGGCACTGGGGCTGTGGAGCATGACGGGCAGCTTTTTTGTACCGCTTGAATTGCTGAGGCAAGCCTACTGAATATTCCTCTTAGGGCTTTGTTCTGCTGTGAGTACCTACCTGTACATGACACTGGCTTGCTCAGATATCATTAAAAGCTATGCAGCTATCTTAACAGGAAATAGCTTCCACCTCAGGCGAAGAGTGAAGAAAATCCTTAGATGGTTGCTCATTGTTTATGCTGCAGTGTGTTTGCTGGAATATTTCCCACTCTGTTAGTGTTTTGAGGCCTTGGACTTTTCAGTTTAATAGGTAATGTTCCTGTGTTCAAGTGTAGAACATTACAATCAAGTTAACTGACTGGAGCAAGTTGAATAATTTTGAGTCCATATCAAAAGATTCCTCAGTCTTTCTAGTCAGAGTTTAGATGACAGTTTTTTTTTTTAAGGAATTGAATTCAGGGCTTTGTCAACCTAGACAGATTCTAGATGGAAACAAAGTGATGGACTTTGCATTTTAAGGAAAAGTCTTTTTCTTTTCTATTTTTTCTTTTGTTTTGTTCTGTTTTGTTTTCTTTTATTCTTTTTGGTCGTTTTGAGACTGTGGCATCCAGGCTGGCCTTGGGCTCACTTTGTAGCCCAGGCTGGCCTTGAACTTGCAAGGATCCACCTTCCTCAGCCTTCTGAGTGCTGGGATTATAGGAGTACGCCACCATGGGGCCTGGCTCTTTTTTTTGAACACAGGGTCTTACTGTGTAGCTCAGACTGGCCTTGAACTCCCAGTGACCCTCCCCCTTCAGCTTCCCAAGTGCAGTGGTTCCAGGTGTGCGCTGCCATGCCCGGTTGGAATGACCTTTTTCTTACACCAGTCTAACAGCTCCTAGCAGTGCTGCTTCTTTTACATGGTACATTTGCATAAAGAGCTCTCCTGCATGTGATCACATCAGAATGAAATCATTTGGAGGGACATCTGGGGCTCCTAGCTTGCATTGCTTGGCACAAGATTTGAAACAGGGAGAGCATAGAACATCTGTTTCACTGTGAGTTTTGTATAGAGAGTTTTACCCGCTGGTTTGAGAAGACCAGGAAAATCCTTTCCAAGCTTTTCCTTACCTAATTTACTTTGAAAACCTCTAAAAATCAAACTACCTAAAAACTAGAACAGCACAGATAAACGTAGCAGTGATTATCAGGAGGCAGGAGGTCAGTAGTACCAGTCTGTACCATTCTGTAAGCATTCCAGTTCTAAGAACCAACCATTCTTTTGGGAAAGGAAACTGGCCCCTTGATCAATAGGATTCCGTTAAAAATTGCAAAAAACCCCGATCGCTGGAATACCATATATAGTGTATTTAAAAGTGCTTTCATTTTAGAGCTGGTTGAACTTCATTAGTGGGCATAACTTTTTAAAAAAAATTTTATGTCATTTTTGTATAATTTTAAAATCTTTTTTTAAAATAAATCCAGGGGCTGCCCAGCCTTTTACATTGGAACTTAATTTGACGAATTCGGAAAAAGCCACTTGCCTTTACGCAAAATGGCAGATGAATTTTACAATACAGTATGAGACTACAAACAACACTAATGTAAGTAACTATTTTTCTTTTGACTTTATGTAGGAATTTAATTCTAACTTTTTAATCCTTTGGATACATTTGTAAAAATAAGTTTTCATGTTAACTGTCTTAATATTTAAACTCTGTTCTTAACAAACATATTCTTTATAGGTATTGTATTCTGTTTAGTGCTGGGATGAATATTTCTTTCTTTAGCCTTCTATCACCTAAAGAATGGTACTTCAGACCAATTTTTGTTTTCTTTTTTGACTTACAAAAAGTATGTGTGTAGCTGGGTGTGATGGCACACGCCTTTGACCCCAGCACTCAGAGGCTGAGGCAGGAGGATCACTGTGAATTTCAGGCCAGCCTGGGTTACAAAGTGAATTCAAAGCCAGCCTGAACTACAGAGCAAGACCTTGTCTCCAAAAAAAAGTATGTGAATGGCAGAAGAATATGATGCTTGATTACAAAGTACACGTGGCCCAGGAAAACCTGGCTGTGGGGAATGGGTGATGTAGGTTGACATGGCTCACCCAGTGAGTCTCCCCAGTGTTGGGGTTCACTGCCCATTTGTTTCTCACCTCTGAACTTCTTTTTCTTTTAGAATACTGTAAACATTTCACCCCTTGACAATGTGACATATAATGGAAGTAACTGTGGGGATGACCACACTGGTCCTAAAGTAGCTGTGCAATTTCGATCTGGTTTTTCTTGGAATGTGAATTTTACCAAGGAGACGCCTAATTACTCAATTGACAGAATCTCATTTTCCTACGACACCAAGGATAACAAAACATTTCCTGATGCTAAATATAAAGGTAATCTTAAGAATTGGATTTGTGTTATATTCTCTGACTTTGTGTTAATAGTAAAACTGTAAACAATTTAAAAATCGTTATGTATGTCTGTCTTCCTAAGTGGAATGGAAACTTCATGCATTTGTTCCCCTCCCTCTCACTGTGACCCCCTGCAGAACTGAAGTTGATGCAGGACACGGTAAAAATCTGCCATTGCTGGGCGCTGTACTCTGTGTCACTTACTTGCTACTGAAAGTGTGTTATTTATAGCATCTCATTCCTTACAGCAGATCCTGGGAAGCAGATATTAATTATCTCAGTTTTACAGGCAAAAAAGAATGAGATTTGATGACATTAAGTGACTTTCTTAAAAAGTCACTTTATTTAGTAAATGCATGAGCAACAGGCATTTGGACCAAAGTTTGCTGAGCTGCAGAATTTACACGCTGTTATTATCTAATTTTTTTTTTTTTGGTACAGGTATAGAACTCAGGGCCTTGTGCGTGCCAGGAAGGCGCTTACACTGCTGAGCTAATCCTCAGCCCACATGGTATATTACCTGTTTTGTTCAGTAGTGGACAATCAACACATTTTGAATAAATGGGAATACCCTTTCTTAATTATTATTTTAAATGTGTACAAATTCAGTAACCTGAGGCTAGAAGAAATCCTTCATCTTTAGATCCTTTTAGCATTTAGATAAAGATTTTGACTAAAACATAAGTGACGATTAAAATGACTAGAGTCAACATTTGCTGCTATTTTGAAACAATTTCAGGTCCAAGTGAACTCGGGAAGGCACTGGCGATTAGGTCATCCTTGTAATTCCCAGAACTGAAGTGCGCACTTGAAAAATACATTGGAAGTATGGCTAGTGGAGATTCTGGTGTAACTAGGGATATACTATCATTCTTTTCTGCTGCCTCCATGGAGATTGGGTTAACATTGTTGTCTGTTGTATCTTGCCTCTTCGCACTGATGGTTTTCTTCTGACTCCAGAATTATAGGTAGATCAACACTAGTTGCCCAGACTAGGGATTAATAACTGATTTGGACCTGTGGATATCATAACATCATAGTTGAAGACCAAGAAGTGAATGAGCTCACATAAAAGTTGGGAGCTAGCACAGACTGAAACTTGAGAATCAAATTCTGATTTTCCTTCATTAAGCTCTTAGTTTGAGAGGGTAACTAAAGCAAATAGGTGTTGACTTGTCTTCCATATTTATCTTTGTGCCCTGCATTGTCTTTGAGAACGAGGGTAAGATTTGCCTCTCACTTGTAAGGGGCTTGGAAATCAGTTGGGAAGACAAAGGTAAATTGTATTTTCTTTTTTTTTTTTTTTTTTTTTTTGGGTTTCATTGCTTCCACGGTTCTTATTACTTTTTTGGAAGAGAGTAAAACCAAATGTGACATAACAGAACAGAATCGGTCAAGTCAAAAGGGTGGACATAATAGATAATGTGAAAACATAATACAAGGTGATCAACAATGGTTACCATAATGCCTCCCACTATCTCTAATAGAATTGCCTGTATCGTTAGTTATAATACAATTGAACAAAACAGTAAAGAATAAAAGCGACAAAACCAAAACATTGGAGACATTGTAGGTCTTCAAAAGTAGATAAAAGTCAACGAGAATGGGCGTTATAATGAATCTCATTATCTTCACAGCTGATGCCTAAACTTTCGAACCTGATACTATCCAGCAAAACAGAATAGGGGAACATCAGTTAAAAACCAGATGGTGAGAGTAATACAGGGCTTTAAATCGAGGTAATGGAAAGTCAAAGTGGGTTACTATAATATATCCTGCTATTTTTTTTCCTTTAATTAAAAGGATAAAAATAAAAAAGTAAATAATGGAGTGGAGATTGAGATAAAAGAAGGCATAACAACGAAACAGCACAGATCAAAACATAACCATTTAAGCAGAATAGTGTTTCACCACCAGATAATCCTGACCTAAAAGTAGTTACCATATTGTCTCTTTCCTTGAAATCCTTGAGTACAACTTCGTATACTGTGGCATTAAGTATATCAAAACAATGTAGAACCATTTAAGAGAATGACAGTATTACAGAGTATTTCGAATCGACTAACAGAAAATGAACAATGGTTTCTGTATAATCTCCTTGACTTTAAAAGGTTTTTGCTTATACTATCGTACATAATAAAATCCAGTAAGATACAACCTATTTAGACCATTGGAGACAGAAGGACAAAAGCTAGATGAGACTTCAAAACAAGATGATACTAAATCAGTATTACCTATTAAGATGTCATTTTCTCCAAAATAGCTGTTCCGATCATCCAATCTTCTCTGTCTCATTTCTGTTGAGCTCTTATTCTGTCAGTAGCTGTCAGTTTGTCTTCTTCACTTTGTTCTCTGCTCCATTCGTTGTGGCCTCCACTATTTCTGGATTCTTTGTATTTTTCTTTTTTTAGAATATCCTGCAATACTCTCTGTAGAGTTGAATTGGTGGTTGCAAATTCCCCCAGTTCCTCTTTATCCTGGAAGCACCTTGTTTTTCCATCAATTTCCAGGGACAGTTGTGCAGGATATCTTAATCTTGGCTGGAGATTATTATCTTTCAAAGCTTGAATTATTTCCCCCCACGCTCTTCGTGATTTGATGGTTTGTGCAGAGAAATCTGCTGTAATTCTGATGGGTGTTCCCTTGTAAGTGGTCTGTTTCTTGTCTCTGACAGCTTTTAATATTCTGTTCTTGTATTGAATTTCTGGAATTTTTATTATTATATGCCTGGGTGTAGTTCTGTTTGGGTTGTAGGTGGCTGGGGTCCTGTATGCCTCATACATCTGAGTATCTTTACCTTTTGCTAAATTAGGAAAATTCTCCTGGATTATTTCTGTGAGTAGCTTTTGTAGTTCACTTGTTTGTGTCCCTACTTCTTCTTTTATGTTCTTAATCCTTAAGTTATGGATCCTCTTATCATCTTCTTGTTTTTGTATTATTGCTGTTTGTTTCTTTGTTATTTTTAAGAAGTTTTTCATTTCATTCTCCCATATTACAAGTCTGCCCTCCAGTTCAGATAGTCTGTCCTTAGTTTCTTTCAAGCTGTTATGCCAGTCTTCGATAGACTTCTTAGTATCTTGGTAGTCCCTTTGAACCTGCTTCACGTATTCTATGCTTTCTCTGTTTTCTCCATCAAACAATTCTCCCCTTTTTTTCTTTTCTTCCATTCCACCACCTGTTTTTTCTTGGGTGGTACTTAGCATTTCTCTAACTATTCTGCCTACTTCTAGCTTCAGGTCGTTGATAACTTCATTCCTGAATTGGTCTATGAGGCTCTCTATATGGCGCCTTATGTGTATTGGTGCGGTGTCTGCTATTGCCTGATTCTCAGAATTGGGGGCCGAGGAGCCTTTCTTGTTGCTGCCTCTTCCCATGCTGCCTCTTCTTCTCTGTTCCTTATATATGCAAGCTTATATAAGAGGCCCAGCTTCTCTCCCAGTCAGCCACAGCCTGATCGAATTGCGCCAGTTAGGTGTTCCCGCTCACCGCTGCGCACCAGGGAGTTACGGACCAGGCAGCCTACGCGTCTCCCCTCCCGGCCACCGTCAGGCTCTGGGATCTGGGTTGGGACAGCCTACGGGATCCGCCAGCAGCGTCACGCAGGCCAGGCACTTTTCACCAATCCCGCCCAAGAGGGGAATGTGTGGCGGGAGTCGCCACCGCGCCCTGCTCCCGCAGGACTGCTGGGGCCCAGGAAGTCCGCTGGAGTCAAACTGTGGCTCAAACTGTGGCGGAGTGTCAGTCTCCCTCACTCACCTCGCCACAAGTCAGAACATGCCTCCCTGCCCGTCCTGTTTTCGACTCTGTTCGCAGACTCCCGCTCCCAGAGTTTCCGCGCGTCTCTCTCCTTGCTGAGCCGATGTAGAGGCAGCCAGCCACCGCGCGGCGGGAAACCCAAATCGCGGCTTCCAATGGCGCGGGGTCCAGCCTCGGAGCAAGGCTTTTCTGTTCCTGTTTTAGCACCAGGACTGCATTCCAAGTTGGTTTCTCTCAGCCGAGTTCGTTCCTGAGTCAGCAGAGCATAAATCCACCAGCTTATGTCTCTTTAGTCCGCACCATACCTGGCTTCTGAGCCTAGTTTTTCAGAGAGCCTCCGGCAGTTGCTGTTATCTGTCCGCCATGTTCTCCCGGAAGTCGGTAAATTGTATTTTCAAGTCATAAGGAAAATTGGCAAATACTCAATGCAGTCTTTTTTGTGTTCTTGTTTGAGGGGATGGAGGGTTTGTACATCTTTTCTGACAATGTAAGGAAAGCTAATACTAGAGTTTCAGTAAACTGAGGAATTTGCCTAGGGTGTTTCCAGCAGGGGGAAGCAGAGTGTGTGCACCAGTAATTGGAGAGGTGCCTGACTAAAACAAAAACTGTTAACTGGAGACCATACTGATAAGTGAAATAAATCAGACGCGCATGTGTAAGTACTGTATTGCCTCCCTACTGTGAGAAGCTGGAAGAAATAGTATGTGTATGTATGCATATATGATAGTTAAGATAGTTATACTACTGATTGCTCTGAGTTCGTGGAAGAGAAAGGTTTGTGCTAGTATTGTTCAGGCAATTAAAGGCAGATAGCTTGTACTCTTGAGTAACTGATTTGAAGATAACAATATGTGTTATATTAATCAATGTTACCCTCTAATTATTGTTTTAAAATTTGGGGTTTTTTTCTCTTAAAAAATTGGCTGTGTTTTCTCTTAAAAAACAAAAAACAAAAAACAGAGGTTGTGTGTAGCAGAAGAAAGTTTGGCCAAGTGCAGTATGTCTGAATTTTAGGGTCTCTCGGAAGTCAAGGAGAGACATTTAGGTTGACTGGGTAGGAACTGGAGTGCCAGTTTATGTTTTTTTTTTAAGCCAGGGAATGATATTTTAAGAAGAGAGAAATAGTCATTTATGGGAGGCATTTTTTTTGAGACAGGGTTTTGCTATGCATTCAGGCTGATCTTGAACTCACCATGTAGCCCAGTCTGGCCTTGAAGTCTCAGTGATTCTCCTTCCTCAGCCTCCTAAGTACTGGAAATATGAATGTGCACCACCACACCTGTCCTCTATCACTAGCTTCTGTATAATAAGATATTTGAAAATACTTAGTATTTAAAACAGCTTCTTGTTCATAATTGTTTTGAAATCATTCATTATTTAAAAATACTAATGTACTTCCAAACATTTGATAATTGAAGTAACTTTGAAAGCTTCTGTTTCCTTTTTAACAATATTTCCATGATTAAAACATGATTCTGGAGCTGGGCATGGTGGCTCACACCTGTAATCCCAGCACTCAGAAGGCTGAGGCAGGAGGATCCTTGTGAGTTTGAGACCAGCCTGGGCTACAAAGTGAACTTAAGGCCAGCCTGAACTGCACAGCGAGACCCTGTCTCAAAAAGACAAAACACAAAACAAACATGGTGCTAGACACTCGAGAGGCTGAAGCAGAAGAATCACTGAGACTTCAAGGCCAGACTGGGCTACAAAGTGAGTTCAAGGCTAGCCTAGATTACACAGTCAGACCTTGTCTAAAAAGAGAATAAAAATACAGAGAACAGCAGGTCCGTAATACCTACTACCCAGAATTAAATATTAAATGCCATTTTAATGTTTGGTCAGTCATTATTAAAAAAAAAACCTTTACGATACACTTGAAATCCCTTTTATCCTCACTTACCAGTTGTTTTCTTTGCTGCCCACTAGAAGAAACCACTCTCATGACTTTGGGCTGAAGCCTTCCTGCCATGTGTGTATATTTTATACTACATGCGTTCGTATTCATAAACATTACATGCTTTACAAAACACGGTCTCATGGTGTAATCTCAGCGTGTTTGCAGCTCTTTTCAGTGAGAGTGGTACTGAGGATAGAACCCCAGGGCTTTCAAGCTGCACTATTTCCCCAGTCACATCCTTTTAGTCTTTCCTTCCATCTTTCTGCTTATTTCCTTCATTCTGCTTATTCCCTCCCTCCTTTTCTGAGATATTGATACACTAAGTTGCCCAGGCTAGACTTGAACTTTAGATCTTCCTGCCTCTGCCTCACAGAGTTCCGGGAATCACAGGTATGCACACCATCCCTAATTACAACTTCTTGTTTTACTCATTTGTTTTTGAGATGTGTCTGTACTCAGCCAATTTCCATATCTATTCATTTTTGTTAAGGTGAGAAACAGTTTTAGGAAAATGTTCAGGTTTATTGGTTTAAAATAATTCTTTTGAGCCGGCCATAGTGGTGCATGCCTATAGTTCCAGCACTTGGGAGGCTGAGGAAGGAGGATCACCACACATTCAAGGCCAGCCTGCATTACATAGAGAGACTCTGTGTCCAAACAAAAGTTCTTTTGACCATTAGGGGATGCCAAGGTAGTATTAAATGGCTGCTATGCTACCTGACTCAGACACAGAAGGAAACCTGTATTCATGACTTCGAAAATATCTTCCTTTCTTGCTACTTCAAAAAGAAACTAAGCCATTTTGATACGTGTGATCTTAGTTCTTTGAAGTTCCCCTATCGGCATTCTAATAAAAACTTGGTGCAGATTGGCAGCAGCTTCTTTTGCCCTCTGAAGATTTTCAGACATGGAATGATCTTTAAATTCGGTTCAGGCAGAGCTCCTGTAAGCTCATTAGAGTTGGTATAACTTACTTTTGATAATAGTGTAAAAAGAAGGATTTGCTCTACAATCCATGGTGCCCTCATTGCTTTCCTCTCTGTTCGTAGTCACTGAGTCCTGTTATCCTGACTTCTGTGTTTTCAGTTTGCCTTCCTTGCTTTCTTTCTGCTGCCCTCTCCATCTTAGTGCAGGCAAACTCCTCTCACCTTTCACGTTGCCAGGTCACTGGCCTGTACCTAGTTTCCTTCTTAGATGGCATCCCTTAAAAGGTTTCTTCTATTCTTGTTTGATAATCTTCCTAAATGTAAGTCATATAACTAGGCTTATTTTCTGCTTTAAATTTGAAACTAATGAGGGAGGAAGAAGAAAAAAAATGAAGATGTGTTATGTGCATGTGCCAACTCCCCCCTGAGGAACGCAATTGTGTCCTGCCAATATGGACTGATGAAAATAAATATGAAGGTAGCCCCGCCATTTTTTTGCTTTGTTTTTTTTTTTTAATCAGTACCGGAGATCGAACTCACAACCGCCTGCTTGCAAGACAGGTGCGTATGCCGCTGAGCTAAATCCCCAGCCCCCAATTTTTTTTTGTCTTTTTCCTTTTAATTGGTACTGGGGATCGAACTCATAACTGCCTGCTTGCAAGGCAGGTGCTTATGCCGCTAAGCTAAATCTCCAGCCCCCTGGTAGCCCCACCATTGGTAACAAAGAAAACCATATTATGGTTGGATGATAGAAGATGCTTAAATGTGAAACCACCATGATTCATCTTCTCTTAGTTTCCATTGCTTCTTCCTCCCTGCATTCTGTTTCAGCCAGAGTGCATTTGTGGTTCTCATCAGGATGTTATAACTGTTGTCACTTTGGGCTTGGGGTGGAGTGGACAGGAAGAGAGCTTATACATTTATTTATGTTATCACTTTTTCCCGGCTTCTTGGAAACAGCCATTGTGAATTTTGTCTCATAGGTATTGTTACTGTCAGTGATGCTGTGGCCGTCAAAATTCCATTGAATGACATCTTTAGATGCAATAGTTTATTAATTTATGAAAAGAATGATGTTGTCCAGCACTATTGGAGTATTCTTGTTCAAGCTTTTGTCCAGAATGGTACAGTGAGCAGAGAAGGTAAGTGCTAAAAGTACCTGTTTCTGTATTTGAGTCCTAATTTACGAGTATACCAGGTGGTGCTCATTGAGGTCAGTTTCTGAAAGCACCTACAGATTAAGGCTTATGTGTAGCTTCCACTAGCCTGGAAGTTTTTTGTGATTAATTGCAGTTCCTGTGGGAACTTGCAGTTTAAAGTTGGATATACATGTGGTCTTTTAAAAAGTTCTACCTTTAATGTTTCCATTAGCTGATACAACCTAATCTTTGTCTTGAAAAGGTCCTCCACTAGCTTGATAATCTGCTCGTTAGCAGTTCCAAGACAAAAGCTTAGATGTTAGATTTGTGTTCTAATCTTCACTTGTGTGAATCGATTTTACAATTTCTGTGCAACTTGATGGGCATTTAATAGTTTCTCATTCACCAGTCCTGATAGACTACTAACACTTCTAAGAAATAGAAATGCACATTATTTGCTATAGGGGTAGTAAATGAAAGATTCATTAGCCGCATGTGGTGGTGCACGCCTATAATCCCAGCACTTGGAAGGCTGAGGCAGGAGAATCTTTGTGAGTCAGAGACCAGCCTGGGCTACAAAGTGAGCTCAAGCCCAGCCTAAACTGCATGATGAGACCCTGTTTCAAAAAAAGAGAAAAATAAAGGTTCATTGTATATAAATCCTCAATGAAGGTTGGGCCTGGTGGCATGGGCCTGTGTTCCCAGTACTTGAGAGGCTGAGACAGTAGGATCCTCATGAGTTGTGAGGCCAGCTTAGGCTACATAAGTTAGTTCAAGACCAATTTGTCCTACGTAGTGGGACCATGTCTCCAAAAACAAATCCTAAATAATTTCTAAACTTTTTTCCTAGTGAACAGTGTCCTTCCTTATAGTGGTTGTATGTGGGAAGGACGAAGGTGAAAGAAGTAGGGGTTAAATATTTTCAGTTTTAAATCCCTAAATTTCACATTAGGGGCAAGTAGAATTCTTTGGAATAAAGGCACTTCAGGGGTTTGGCCACCTGTGGAAAGGTAAACCTTTGGATGTATCTTGAACATATCTGCTATGTCATAGAGGCTGGAGAGGAAGCAACAGTTTAATAACTTGTCTTGTTTAGCTTAAAATAAGAGGATATTCCTTTCTCCCAGTGAACCTAGCCTAAGACTTTTATTGTGAAAAGTATTTTGCTCTTTCCTGGCCTAATGGATTAAGAAAAAGACCCTTATTTATTTTGTTCTTTGTTTGCTTGCTTTAGAATTCCTCTGTGAGGAAGACAAAAGTCTTACAACAATAGCACCCACCATTGTGCCCTCACCTACTACAACTCCCACTCCAAAGGAAAGGCCCGAAGTAGGCAACTATTCAGTGACTCAGGGCAACAGCACATGCCTGCTGGCCACCATGGGGCTCCAGCTGAACATCACTCATGATAAGGTACGCTCGTCCACATTCAGCCGTATGTGCTTCTGTACTTTTCCCAAGTGCAGTGTATCGTATTGTGTACTCAACAGCAGCATTACTAGCATGATTCTACTTTAAAGTGGGCATTTGATGTTGGCTTGCTGAATTTTGGTGCGTTTGAAGGTAGGAGAGCTATGAAGACTTAAGGTCCCTGGTAGGGTATTGTCTCAGCCAGGATAAAACCTGACAGTTTCTGAAAGGACTCTTTGAGGTTTAGATTGTTTGCCTTCAATAGATCATAGTACACACAGTCCAGGTTTATTTTATTCATTTTATTTAAAATACAGTGCCTGGGTTGGATGGAGATGAAACTCAGGTAAAACATTTGTCTAGCACACTTAAGGCCCAGACTTTGATCCCTACAACTTCCAAAACAAAAAAAGTAACCCCTTCACACACTTTCCTGAAATGAGCTGTAAGCTGGTGTACATGAGCAGTGCAGCTGTCTGTGGCTGTTCCAGGACTCTGATCACGGAGACATGCTCAAGTCCGCCATGGCTCTTCTACTTGCATTGCTCTGTGGGGGCTCCAGAGGGCGTGCCAGCAACTGAATCGCATTTCTAGGACCTCAGGACAGAAACAATCCAGACAGATGACTCCTGTGCTCTGTAAAAAAGTGTGTTTACATTTGGCTCATTCCCGAGGAGGCTTTCTTGTTGTTGTTGTTATTTTTCAAGTCATTGTAGTCACAGCTTGAGGGTCCATGCCAAATTGGTTTGAAAGTAAGATGCCATGAATTTAAGTTTCCAAACAAAACAGTTTTTGTTCTGCATTGAAGTTGACCTTACTAGAGTGTAAGGCTTTGCCATCAATTTACATAGTTAATCTGTACTTTTCCTCTCTTCTTCCCCTGCAGGTTGCTTCAGTTATTAACATCAACCCTAATACAACTGACGTTACTGGCAGCTGCCAACCAAAAACAGCTGAGCTTAAGCTGAATAACAGTGACATCAAGTATCTCGAATTTGTCTTTGCTGTGGTGAGTAACACATTTTTCTAAGCGTTAGATGTGGTCTCAGAAAGCCATATCTGAAAGTCTAGTATATGTGTGAGAGGTTAGCTTCGTTTTCCATTACGACTATACGTAATGAATAGTAGTCCACTGATCCTTGTTCATTTCTCAGAGTCTGCTTCATGTGCTGTGGGCTGGGTTCCTTTAGTACTGTTCACCAACAGTGGCCATTCTGCCATCATGTAGACTAGGGTAGGGGGAAGAATTATGTTAAAGAACTACCTGTGTGCTGTCTCCACATATAAAAAACTCCTGTGATATTTTTCTCTTACTGGTTAGACAACCCTCATGTTTGTTTGGTATAATAGTTTTAGACTTTCTAGAGGTAATACTGTTTATAGTGGTGTAATAATAATAGCTAATAATAATAATATTGAGAACATTTATCCCTTTGTATCTGTGGTTTCTGCATCCATAGATTCAGCTAACCTTAGATCAAAAATATGAAAGAAGGCAGGTGTGGTAGCACATGCTTGGAGGCTGAGGCAGGAGGATCACTGTGAGTTTGAGGTCAGCCTGGGATACAGTGAGTTAAAGGCCAGGCTGAACTACATAGTGAGACCCTGTCTCAAAATCCTACCACCACCAAAAAGAGTACTGAGGAATGATTGTACTTACTATATATAAGACTCTGTAAGTACATGTATTAATTTATTAAATCAGGGTAGTTTATAATGTCAGAATTCAGATTTTTGTTGTTCATGTTTCTGTTAAGAGTCGAACTATTCTAGTCTTGTTAGTGAAAATAATCATTGAGGACCTTTACTTCCATTTTCTTGGGAACATTTACTATCTTCATATTTTTTTGTGAGGGGAAATGTGTTTACATGTTGCAAGGAAGAATAGTGGGTAGATGTAGGAGAGAGATTACCATATTTAGAGATGGTGTAATAGTCTCAACATCTGATGTGTAAAAAGCAGGTATGTTGTTATGTCATATATCAATTTGTATCTTAACTAAATACTTCCATCTAGGATATATATTAACTGAGAGTTATATTTTAGAAAGGTTTACAAAAATCTTCCTTTTCCCAATATCCAGAAAATTCCTCTTGCTGTATTTCATACATGCTTGGTGAATTACTATTTCAAATGTCTACTTTGGCTGAGGGTATGGCTCACTGGTAGAGTGCTTGCTTAGCAAATGCAAAGGCTCAGGTTCTATCCTTAATGTCATTTAAAAAAGTGTGAAAATGTGTAATTAAACTTGTCTTGTTAGCTAGGCATGGTGGCACACCCCTGTAATCTCAGCACTTGGGAGGCTGAGGCAGGTGGTTTGCCTGAGTTTGAAACCAGTGTGGGCTAGTTGTAAGTTCAAGGCTACAGACTACATAGTGACACTGTGTCTCAAACAAACAAACAAACAAATGCCATAAAAACTTGTCTTCTTTAGGCTGAGGATGTAGCTCAGTGGAAGAGCTCTGTTCTAGTATTTGTAGGGCCCTGGGTTCCCTGCCTTGTACTGGTAAAAGACAAAACCAACCCCCTCAAATAAAAACTTGTCTTCTTATCTACATTAGAGCGTGCTTTCAGTCAGTAAAAACGAGGAAAGTAGTATTTCCTTTTGAGTGATGGAGTCTGATCTTTCCAGCCGTGGTGGGCTCTGAAATGAAGCATGGCTTCTTCAACTGTCATGGAAAAATACTGAATATTAATGATGACAACATTTATTTTGCCCACCAGGCTATTTTAAAATATGTAATCCCAGATAATGACATTTTAATCATGTTACAGGTAGTTTGGAAAATCAAAAAACCCCTGCAATGTTAGCAGAATTGGGGGCTTCATCGGCTTCACCCCTGTCCTCATCCATGATCCTTGGGAAATTTTATAGCATTCAAGTGTGCCATGTGCAGGCTACCATGGTGGGATGTAAAGAAAGAAACTTGTGTTCTTAAGGAGCGCGGTCTTAAGTGGTAAAGCTAGAAACACACACACGTTACCACTTTGGTGCAAGGCCCGAGTGACAGCCGTGCTCAGGCCTCTGGACTTGTTTCTATGGGCAGGAGGCTGCTGAGGCAGGCACATGTAGAGCTGTGGGATTGCAGGGGAGGGAGAGTCAGGAAGATTGGGAAGAGATGGCATTTGACCTGGGACTTTGAGGACAGGTCAGATTCATCCATACAGAGATAAGGGGAGTACATGGAAGAGTGCAGGTTGCCCTTGCGTAAGGGAACATGTTCAGAACCAGCTGGAGAAGCATGCATGCAGCATGGTTAGTGGAAGGATGGGGCTACAGTTGGGACCAGCCTCAAATGCCAAGGCAGAACATTGCCTAGGCAGAGGCAGGATGCCAAGAAGGCAGCAAGTCTTCCTCTGTGCTTCCTTTTGAGATTCCACTGAGTCTTTCCCCTTATTTTCACTCCCCTCTGCTTTTGGTCTGGTTGCAGCAGCCTCCTGCCTCTCTCAACTCCTTATCTCCCTCAGATTATTCTTCCAGAAGCTCAGCTCCTCCTCAGAAATCCTCAGTAATTATTTTGCCAACAAGATACCATCTAAACTCCATTCAGGGCAGTGCAGGTCCCTGTTACCCATGTGATGCATTCTGCATTTGCAGACTTTCTTTCTTCACTCCCTCTCCATGAGCATATGCTTCTGTCAGCAGCACCATCAACCTGCCCCCTGTGTACATCTTGTGATATGGCAGGACACAGCAATAACTGTTTCAGTGTCTGCAGCCAGATCTCTCAGGGATTAAATCTCAGCTCCCTGACTCCTAATCCTTAGTTGAGGGAGCTCTCCCTTATCATCACTGGCTGAGAATTCCTCCATCTCAAAATGGAGATGCTAATAGCATCTGTAATGTACATTATGGTAATTGTTTAATGAGTCCTTTTAGGTAGACTTGAGGACAGTGGTTGGCACTTAGGAAGTTCTCAAATGCTGGCATGCTTGGCATTGTGCTTATTTTCTGACTACTTTTACTCATGGGGTAGCCTTTTTTGAAAATCCCCTTTCTGTTTCTTGTTCAAATTGTGCTTCATCCAAAGGTCCTATCCTTAGACTCACTTTACTTTGCTGCTTCCCTCATTGGAAATAATTTTTTTCTATCAACTTTTGTAGCTTGCCACTTTTTCTTTTTTTCTGATTCTTTATTTAATTTATTTATTGAGACAGGCTCTTGCTCTGTAGTTTACCCTGGCCTCAAAGTGGCAGCAATCCTCCTGTCTCAGCCTCCCGAGTTCTGGCATTACAGGCATGGGGTGCCAGTTTCTTTGCTTTTTTTATTCTTTTGGAGACAGGGTTTCACTTTGCAGTTTAGGCTGGCCCTGAACCCACTTCATAGCTTAGGGTGGCTTTGATCTTCTTGCCTTAGCCACCTGAGGGCTAGAATTACAGGTGTGTACCACCACATCTGGCTGCTGCTTTTTTCTTTATAATATGATTATTAGTATTTTTAGCTTCTAAGGTAGATTTACAAACACTCCAAGGACAGTTTTAAGTCTGGCTCATTTTGTTACCTCCCTGTATCACTTAAGACATATTACCTTTTATATACGGAACATTCAAACAATAGGGAATGACTGGAAAATCAGTCAAGTACATTAGAAAATAATGGTGAGCAGAAAGCAGGTAGAGGGAGGGACTTAGTTTTCTCTTATTGCTAAGACAAGATAGCTGACACCCAGAGTTAAAGGGTTAAAAGGTTTATTTAGCTCATGGTTTGTAAAGGTTTCAACCCGTAATCGGCTGGGTCCAGGGCAGGGTGGGTTGGAAGAGGATCTTCACAGAACAGAACCAGTTTAGAGCAAGAAGAAGACGGCAAAAGCAAGCAAGCAAGCAAAGAAGGGGGAAGACAAGCCTCTTTCTGTCCCTTGTATTGTATTCAAGCTTCCAGGATTAGGGCAGTGCCAATCCAATCAGTGACTAATTTATTAACTACCACTCTTAATCCTAGCACTGCACCATGAATCAGTCACATACTCCAGATTTAGCCACCTCGGAAAAAGGCCCACCTATGACTGCACAAGGCTTTAGTGGGGACATCTAGACACAGACTGTAACAGGGACATCATATACTAGGCACCAAAGCATGAGGAGTAAGTTCTGGCATTCCACAATACAGGGGGGTGACTATAGTTCACAGTAACCTATTTTATGAAGAAGTCAAAGAGATGAATTTGAAGCTTCCAAACAAGAAGTGCTAAGGAGACCCAGGCATAGTGCCACACACCTGTAGTCTCAGCACTCAGGCGGCTGAAGCAGGAGGATGGCCTCAAGTTCAAGGCCAGCCTGGGCTGCATAGTGAGTTCAAAGTCATCCTGAAGCACAAAGCAAGACCCTGTTAAAAAAAAAAAAACAAAAACGAAGCAGGAGACAGGAAGTTCAAAAATTTGAGGCCAGTCTGTACAATTTAGCAAGCCCCTGTCTCAAAATAAGAAATAATAAAAAGAGCTGTAACTCAGCTTTAGAGTTTGTCTGCAAGTATAAAACCCTGGGATCAATCCCAAGTATTTCAGATAATAAAAATGATCACGAGAGAGAAATCCCAGTTATCTTGATTTGATCAGTGTACCCCATGTGCATTTTATTGAAGTGTATACACTGAGGCCCATTGATACAGCACACTTATTACATGTTGATAAGAAAAATAAGGAAATGGGCTGCAGATAAAGTTGAGTGGTAGAGTACTTGCCTAGTGCAGTGTGTTGGAGGGCTCTGGGTTTGATACCCCACGCTACAATACATAAGTAAATAAAACAGTAATGTTAAGAAAATGATTTCAACAAGAAAAAACAATAAATACAATGAACAAACAAAAGAGAATAGTGAAAAGGAAAGAGCAGAGCTGCAGGGCTGCAGGCAGGGAGTCCAGTTCCAACTATGAGCCGGGCCAGAGGTAGTGTGGACATGGGAAGTGACAGGGGTGAAGTCCAGGGTATGACTCAGTGGGTATTTAAGAACCACAGAACTGCTCTTGGGGTCTGAAAGTTGAAAGGGAAATGCTGAGGAAATGGCTTCGTCACACTGTGAGTTCTCTTTCACTTTAGTTGCCATTTATTTGACTGGCCCAGGTCTAATCCATTGTTTGCTCTTCTGGGTAATAATACTAAATTGCTTTTTTCTGTAGATATTAACTATACCTGTAGACAATTGTGATATGTTGATTAACTGGAAGCTCTTTTTTAAACAGAAAAATGAAAACCGATTCTATCTGAAGGAAGTGAATGCCAGCATAGTTTTGGCAAATGGCTCTGGTAAGCAAAGCATTGGCCTGGGGGAGAAGAGCGGGTTGGAAGGACTGGAAACTACAGTTATCTTAATTACCGAACAGCCTTATTGAATGGGACAGAAGATGCTATTTAAAAAGTATGCTTTTTCCACAATTTAATCTGTAATTTAGAACTATGGTAGTTGGGTGTGGTGGTAACTGTATCTGTAATCTCAGTTACTCAGGAGGCTGAGGCAGGAGGATTGCAAGTTTGCAATTTGTTTTATTTTATTATTTGTTTATTTATTTATTATTTTGAAGGTAGTAAAATACAACAGAACAACACAGAACAAAGCCAATTGATGCAGTGTAGTGAAATTGGTCCAGTACTTCACAGCAGGTTACCAGGATAACAGCAATAGGTATCACAGTATATCTCGTTATCATCACAATAGTTGTTCTTTCAATCATGTATAGCAAAATAAAATGAAGTACAGAACATTATAGAACTTATCAAAACAGAATATTGAATAGAACAGTACCATTAATCAGAATAAAGCAAAACAGTAATAAAAATATTTGCCTTCAAAAAGATGGTAGACAGAAATCCCCATTATTTGCTGTATTGCTTATGGTCATCCTCCCAAGAGATGCTCAGATCTCTGGTTCCCATTTGCTAAAAGGGGGCAGGGGAAATGGAATGTTTGACTTTAAGCCCGTGCACTGGTAGGCTCACTATTGCTTAACGGGGAGGCAGGCTGATGGCTTGGTTTCCCAGCGCCCTAAATTCCAACATGGTGCGGATCTCAGGACACACTGGTGGTTCTCCCCTGGAGCTGCTGCAGCCTGCCACACCATAGCTGCTTACCAGGGAGGCCAGCTGCTTGCTTGGTTTCCCAGCATCCTAAGTTCCAACATGGCACAGATCTCAGGAGATGCTGGTGGTTCTCCCCCTGGGGTAGCTATAGCCTGCAGCCTAGGCAATTTAAGGAGACCCTATCTCAAAATAAAAAAGCCTGGGAATATAGATCAGTGATAGAGTGCCCCTGAGTTCAGTCTGCAGTACCACTAAAAAAAGAAAAAGGAAATAAAAAAAATTACAGTTTTCTGTCTTTTGCAATATCATAGTAGATGATCAATGAGGATGTGACTGAATTTTAGATTGTAGTAACATTTATAGAAAGACAAGGGAACCAGCCTAGTGATTATAAGCAGGCAACTTAATAATGGCTTAACAAGATTCTGCCTCAAAATTAAAAATAATTAACAAAACAAAACAGGACTAGTGATACAACTCAGCGTGAAGGCCCTAACATCACAAAACAAAACAAAACAATCCCGAAGACTGTCCTATTTGGATGTTGATGGGATAAGCAATTACTAACAGGTTTTTTTTTCCCGTAGTTTTCAGCACTGCAAATAACAGCCTTAGCTACTGGGATGCCCCATTGGGAAGTTCTTACATGTGCAACAAAGAGGATACCCTTTCAGTGTCTGAAGCATTTCAGATAAATACTTTTGGCCTGAGGATTCAACCTTTCAACGTGAAGGAAGGAGTGTATTCTACAGGTAAGACTTAAGTAAACTGTATTAATAATTCATGTTCTTACATTGACCAGTAGTAGGTGGCTTTTCCTTTGAGTCATGGAAATTTAGACATTGCAATAGAGAAATGAAAATTCAACCCTTGACTCTGATACAGTTTTTGCAGCCTTGGGCAAGTTGCATAACTGTAGCTCACCCTTCTGCTCACAATAGATGTTTTTGTGATCTGAAAAGCAATCTCAGGTTTAGGTGAGCTTAAAGTATAGGTGCTTCTTCTAAATTTAAGTTGGGGCAGCGGATGGCATTTGAATGTCTTACATATGGCTTCTTGGATCCATCTTCTTGCTAGACATATTTTCATACCTGGACAAAACTTAATTTGGTCTAATTTTGTTGAGATACAAATTGGAAATCAAGAGCAGAACCTCAGGTATTGTAAATTATGATCTGGAGATTCCTTAAAGCACATACTAGTGCAAACGGGGTTTTTGAAGATCTACTGAGCAGTTCCTGCCATAGTGGTGCACGTCTATAAGCCCAGCAGTTGGAAGGCTGAGGCAGGAGGATCACTGAGTTCAAGACCAGCGTGGGCCACATAAATGAGTTCAAGGCCATCCTGAACTGCATAGTGAAACCCTGTCTCAATAAAAAACCAACCCCCTCCCCTGAAAAAGAAGAATAAATTTAAAAAATAAAGATCTACTCAGGGCTAATGGTGGCATTTATCAGATTTTATTGTGAAAGCCTCATTATAGTACCTTCATGTGACTATGAAGGATACATTTGGCACCATAGGGTTGAAATTTGCATGAAAAAAATGTACATAAAATCTTTTAGGTGACTTTTCCTTCTAGCTACTTAAAATTTGAGGCTTGTAAACCCAGCTTTGCTGAGCAGAGCCGTTTCAGCATCCATATCTTTTTTAACAATTAATTCTGTGTTTTCAAAGGAAATGTAGCAGCTGTGTTTAAAAGTAAATATGCTTTGAGCTATTTGGCTGTTTTGTGGCAGTGCTAAGTACCTGTTCTGACTCGGTTAGGCCAAGATATATCCGGTCTTATCCTGCCGTTCATGTGACTAAAGAGGTTAATTGTAAATTTAAAAGTATTTTTAAGAATTCATTTTCCCTTTTGTTGGTTTTCCTTATGTACTTCAATTATGTTGATCCTTTAATAGCTTTATTTTTGGAGTCTTTATCTGGCTCCCCTATATCATTATCCTAATTTTAGGTCCCAATTTGTGTTTAGAATTTAAAATCATTTGCAGTGTTACTATCAGTGCAGGCATATTTATCTAGTCAGCTGTGATAGAGATTAGTGGTGCTCTCTAATTTGAAACTTTGGTTTATTTATGCATAGAATTTGAAATGTTACCCAACTATTGAATACATATCTATTTCTTGAACTAGGTTCTTGGCTGTGGTACTTATACATGTAATGTACAGTAATATTTGAGTGGATATGGTGAGGAAATGGTGTTGATTAGATTTTCCTGGATCAGACTGCTCTTGAGAAATAGAAAAAATCACTCCCATGGACTGCTAGCCAGGACCAGACTGATGACGAATGCAGTAAACATGCTTAAGTTAGTAAGAGGTTCTAATTTCTTGATTCTTGCAACCACTAACGTCATGTATTTTAAGTTATGGCTCTGTAAATTTTTTTCTCAGAAGATCCAGAGAGCAAATGATTGTTTAAGACTTTGGTGCCGTTATGATTTCTGTCATGGTGTTCAGCTCTGCCAGTATAGTTCAGGAACATCCATAAGCAGTACGTAAATAGATGAGTGTGACAGTATTCCAATAAAATTGTCTTTATGGATATTCAAATTTGAATTTCCTGTAACTCTCATGTCACAGAGTACTTTTAAAAATATTTTTAAAGGGGGTAAAATTAAACACAACAAAACAGAACAAAATAGGACATAAGAAAGCAATGTAAGAGATACAAATTTCAATGTGTCTATGTTTCTGCATTTATATCACTTGAGATCTTTACTATCTATCATATAGTCTCTTGTTTTCTTCCAAATAACTGTCCATGTCTTCACATACAGAGAATTTATATAAAACAACGTAGTATAAAACCGATCAGAACAGAATGAGGAAGGTGTTTTAGGTCTTCAAAACCAAACAATAGGGTAGTCACTAATGGCTGTTAGTAGAGTCTCTCATTCTCTTCAAAATAGCTGCCCATACTTTGATGTATATTGAAGTTCAACAAAACAAAACAGGCTAAAATAACACCATTAATTAGAACAAAGCAATACAGGAATAAAAGTATTAACCTTCAAAGAGATGGTAGAAGGAAATCCCTCCTATTTGCTACATTGCCTATGGTCAATCTCTCAAGGGATGTCTAGATCACTGGGTCCTACTTGCTAACGGTGGGGGGGTGTTGAGTACTTTTGTTTTTAATGTTCAGTTATTTTAAAATGTAAATACAATTTTGCCAATTAAATTTTTGGCTCTTTGGTCAGATTTGGCCGATAGCTGTTTGGTCAGATTTGCTGACCCCTACTGTAAAGGAACTCTGGAGCCAACCTATGTGTTCTGATCCCGTGGTACGCTGCTGTCCCCAGTTTCTCTTAAAGACTTCACTCTACAACAGAGAGGCTCATCTGGCTATGTATAAATGGGCTAGATTATTAGCTCTCTTCATTTCTGATAAAGTAATTACTCCTGATTTGGAAAAGACACATAATATAAATAAATGCAGAAACATAGACACATTGTATGTGTGTTATAATAAGACAGTGTGTGCTTATTTATAGGTTTAAATGAAGGAACAAATAATGTTTCAGGATTTTAGTTTTAGAATACTCCATCATTTTCATTAACTTTATCATAAAAATGTACTTGTCTTAGTTGAAATTGATTTTGTTAAGAGCACTTTCGACTTTTGAATCAACATTTTTTACTTTTGGACATTCTTTTTTGATTGTACTCATTATTTTTACACACTTTTTCTCACCTACAGCCCAGGAGTGTTCGCTGGATGATGACACCATTCTAATACCAATTGTAGTTGGTGCTGGTCTTTCCGGCTTGATAATTGTTATAGTGATTGCTTACCTAATTGGCAGAAGAAAGAGTTATGCTGGATATCAAACTCTGTAATACTAGTCCATATGTGATCTGTGTTGCAGAAATAATAAAGCCAAGTACAAGTTCCAACATGCATTACTATTGTTCAATTTAATGTACATTTAGTTGTAATCTCTGCTCTTAGAGATTGGGAGATAATGAATTCAAGCTAAAATATCAACCCTCCCCTGTAAAAAAATTGAGAGCTGGGTGTGGTGGTGCACTCCTATAATCCCAGCACTCAGGAGGCTGAGACAGGCAGATTTTTGCAGATTTGAGACCAGCCTGGGCTACAAAGTCAGCCCAAGGCCAGCCTGAATCTGATAGTGAGATCCTGTCTTAAAAAGACCAAAAAAAAAAAAAAAAAAAAAAAAAGGAAAAGAAAAAAAGAAAAGAAACAAAAAGAAAAACTATGAACTACAAATTAGCCATGTGATTTTTAGTTTCTGGAACCAAGATATAAAAGTTGTTATTTTCATAGCAAAACTTATATGCAAAAAATCTGGATTAGAGGTTCTATTTTATTGCCTTGAATTAATATTTTATCAGTTTCATTTAAATAGTCTGGCTAGAAAGAAAAAAAAATGTTTTTGAAAAAAATGTTTCCCTGCATGAATTAGGGCAACATTCTACAGTGGATTTGTACTTGCTGCTTTTGCATTTTGTTGTGATTTTGTTTGCAGGTTAACTTTGCTACTTTGGCATTGCTGCATATTTAACCAATGAGAGAGATGCTAATAGATTTGCACAGGGCTTAGTAATATGTTTTTACCAGTGAATGTTTTTCTCATGCTTTTCAATACATTTTTGTTTAATGTGGCCATAATGACAGAAGATACAAAAACTTTATAAATTTTAGAACAGGTGTTACTCTTGCTTTATCTTTTAAAAAACTGGACACATGACAGTCTTTTAAATTATAAGACAGAAATCTATCCCAACTGGGCATTTCAAACTATTCTTTTAGGTGCTTTAGAGATAATGCTATGCAGTGTCAACTGAGGGAATTAGTCCTTTGTACCAATAAATTGCCCTCAACATGTAGTACTAAAATTAATGAAGATTTCTATTAATCTTCAAGTCTTCCTTGGTGGTGGTTATATATTTTATTCCCCCCCCCCACAGTGAGCCCCATTTTTTTCTTCTCTCTCTCTCTCTCTCTCTCTCTCTCTCTCTCTTTCTCTGCCTGTTTTTGAGGCAGGGTCTCACTGTGCAGTTCAAACTGGCCTTGGGCTCACTTTGTAGCCCAGGGTAGTCTTGAACTTGCAATGATCCTCCTGTCTTAGCCTCCCAAGTGCTGAGATTACAGACATGTGCCACCACTCTTGGCTATTTTTTTTTCTTAAAATGCCAGTGTGTCCTACAAACTAGATAAAGTAGTATATTTGCACTTAGAAAATAACTCACACCTAACTCAACATTTTGATCTTAGTACAATAAAGTTACTGGTTTCTAGTTTGCAATATTTATTAATTTGGCTTTCACATTTAAATGGTATTGTGCTAGTCAAAACTCCACTGTTTTTGTTATGGAAGTATCATTAATTCATGTACTTCATTTAGTTTTGTGCTCTAAGAGATGTACCAGTTGTGACTTGCTGTGTACCACCTAATGCTTTATATAGCTTAGGAAAATATTTCAGCTTGACAGTTACCATATAAGTATTCCTTGTAGTTTCTAGTTGATCTTTTTTTTATATATATATAAATGCTGGTGAGGCTGAGCAAGTACTCTTAAAAATATTAATATGTAGCCATAGGTAGAAGATTCCTGTGGTTATTTGGAGAGGGAAGATTTTATGTCTCTCATTCATGAGAAAATGAGGAACTATCTGGGTTCCAAAATATTAATGTTGAGTGCATCGGTACACAGACATGCACGCCTGTGTACATGAGCACACATACATAGGCAATTGCATGCTTACATGTGTATGTCTGTAATTGTCTTTTGAGTTACATTGGGGTGATAAATATTTTCTTTCACTTAAATTTGCTGTCCGTTTAGCCTGCATACCTTAAGATTTCTGACTAACCCCTTTCCTAGAGCTATACTGAGTTGCATTGCCAGCTTAAAACACTTCTTAAGAGTACATATGAGTTGGTTTATTTTTATTTAAACTGTTTTACTGTAAAATTGTTAATCTTACTAAAATGGATAATGCTTTTAAGAATGTGGGCCTTAGATATTTCTTGTGAAACAAAGACGCTTTTTTAAAAGTAAAAATTGGAAGCACAAGTGGTCACACTGGCTTAAATCTGTTAATGTTTCTAAAAGTTTCTCCATTTAGAGTATATATCAGATTGATATTAAAAATACCTCTGATAAGCACTGTTTTTTAGAAAATCTGACTTCAGTGAATATTTTTGTATTTTACATGGGCCAGTTTATATATTGCTATTTACCCTATTTCCTATAGTCACATGTTCTCTGTACCTTTTGTAGTTTTTGTTTTGCTTTACTGGGTTTGTGCCTTGATGGTATTACACTATTTAGTTCGGGGTGCTTTTCATATTTTACCATTTCCACAAAGAAACTGGTCCATGTAAATGCTTTCCATGTTTTCCCGTCAAATGTTAAAACCACTAGTTGATGTATGGTACCGCTCTTTAGATATTTGCTTGTCTGTTTGCTCAACATTGCTTCTAAAAACAATAAAGATTCTTTTATTTCTTAAGGAAATTTTGCTTACATTTTTTCCTGTTAAAGTCATAATGGCAATTTCTCTCAAATGAAGAACTTTTGAAATACTTACAGGTAGAACTAAATTATTTCCAGGCTGACTGTACCTGGGAAGTGTGTCATAAAAATATTCACTTCTCAGGTGTTCTTAGGCTCCACCTCTAGAAGATTTCACTTAGGATGAGGTGATTGTGTGTGTGTGTGTGTGTACGTGTACATGTATGCGTGTGTGTATCTCTGAGCTTCCCTACCAAATCTGATTCATAGCCAGTGAGAGAACCAGTGATCTTGGGTATTTATTTCTTAGCAAAAGTTTCAGGGTATCTTTTCATGTACTTTTTTAAAAGGTAAAGCTGATATTTAATATCTATACATAGCAGCTATACATTGCAGCCAATTACACAGGGCTACTGATATGATCCAAAGTAAGATTGTGTTCAATCTGTCTTTTAGATCACCCTAAAACACCCGAGCCTTCCGATTTCCAGTCAGTTTCCCAGTCATCTTTGTGTGTCATACACAAACTCTTAGCAACCTACTTGGTAATTTTCCTCTGGGTTTCCCAGGTGAGCCATGAGAATGCAGTGAGTCATCACAGCTCCCAACAATGCTGTTACCTACCAGATGACTTTGGCCTGGTTGCTTAGCGTCTAGGTGTTTTATTTTCATTTAGAGGGCTGAGATTGACTTTATATATCTACTTATCTATTATTAATCGATTGATTGAGACAGGGTCTTGCTATGTAGTCCCGGCTGGCCTTGAACTCACTAGCCTAGGCTGGCCTTCATCCTCCTGCATCAACCTTCCAAATGCTGGGATTATAGGCATTCACCACCACACCCAGCTGGGCCTGAGACTTTAAAATCTGGCTGTTCTTATTTCTTTGAGCAATAACTTCCTTTTTATAGAAGATAAATACATATTTGAGTATGTTTAGGACTCTGATAAAATACTTGTTATATAGCAAGGACATACTTTATATTCAATGTGCAGTGCACTACCTTAAGTTTCCTGCATTTTTTAGGCTAAATTCTTAACAAGATTTATATTTTTAAGATTATAGCATTTAATGTGTTTAGTTACATAACGTTAAATTGTCTTGGAGTCATCTCTTCTCCCACCCATTTTACTCCAGTAGCTAGTCTCCTGTATGAGTAACTATATCTTGTCTTTGAAGCTGTTGTAGATATGCATAAGTGATACTCTGTAGCTTTAAGCATCTTTTCAGTGTCTGTTATATTTCAGCTTGAATGAAGATGCAAAAGGTATATAAATGTTATATAAGAATGTAATTCTTAAAGCTGATTCTTATAGAAACAAAGCTTGACCCAATTGGTGGTTTTGTTTTGTTTTTGTTTTTTGAGATAGATTATTGCTGTGCAGTGCAGGCTGGCCTTGGACTCTCTGTAAGCTCACTGTGTACCCCAGGGTGGCTTTGAATTCGAGAGGGATCCTCCTACCTCAGCCTCTCCAGTGCTGGGATTATAGGCATGTGCCATTATGCTTGGCTCACTCAATTGGTTAGGTTTTTCTTTTTTTGGTACTGGGAATTGAATTCAGGATCTTGCACTTGCCTTGCAGGCGCTGTGCCGCTGAGCTACCAATTGGTTTTTAAAAGATGTTTGTAATTTTGGTATAAGTGTGTATTTCAGCTTTCCTTTTTTTCCTGCATGAAACATTTTATTTAAAAAGAGTAACTTAGAGCCAGGCATGGTGGCTCATGCCTGTAATACTCAGAAGGTTGAGGCAGGAGAATTGTTGTGAGTTTGAGACCAGCCTAGGCTACAAAGTGAGCTCAAGGCCAGCCTGAACTGCATAGCGAGACCCTGTCTCAAAAGGCAAAAACAAAACAAAAAATACAATAAAAAATGAAAACAGTAATTGGCTATATGAAATGGCAATACAGTCTCTTAGTTTGAAAAGCACTTTTGGGATTGAGGGATGTAAATTCAGTTTGAAACATGCACAGTTTTTTAATGGAAAACAGGTAGAACAAAATTTCATGATAATAGGAGAATAACAATGGTTAATACATTGCATGTTGTTATCATCAAAGTAGTTTTTTAGAGTACAAAATATGGACATAAAACTTATTAGCACAAAATTCCTTTTTAATGAACTAAGAGACACTAACAGTATAACTGACTTGCATTTTTCACCTTTTCCTTTCCCATTCATTCATCCTAGTTCCTTTTTCTTTTTGAACAGTTGCTTTCCATCAGCTTTCCATTTCTTATACTGGAAATTATATTTGAAAATTTGCTGAACAGAAAATTGAAAGTTAATAGTATTTTTTTAGGGGCTGGGGATTTAGCTCAGTGGCATAAGCGCCTGCCTTGCAAGCAGGCAGTCGTGAGTTCAATCCCTGGTACCGATAAAAAAACGAAAAAGACAAAAAAAAAGTTAATAGTATTTTTTTGTTAATAGTATTCTTAATCTGCATGAAACTTCAATGAAATTTTAGAAAATTTTGTCACTTCTGTGGTTATTAAATACTTCCACAAATACTCTTTTTCTTTTGCCCAGAAATACTTTCAATCTCATATTAAGAAGTATACATTAGTGAACTAGATCGAGTCAAAATCATATACAGAGTAAGACTTTCTTTCCTTCACGATATGATCCTATTGAATTTATTGGTTTTTTCCAAATTTCTATTACCTAAAATATTCTTAAAGATTCAAGCTTTGCCACCTGCAAATACATTGCCCCACATTATTCCTTTGTGATTTAGTAAGGAAGAATTAAACAATATGTAGTGATTTCTGTTCTCTTACACATATTCTTACATGCATGGGCAACTGAATCAGGCAAGGACCCTTCCTATTGCCTCTTCAGGTCTCCCATTGTAATCCCTCCAAACCATCAAGTGGTTTTCCTACTGAATACAACTTGAATGTGTCTCATACGCAGGTTCTTGGTTTTAGGTATGCTCTTGTTTTTCTATTGGGTCTTGGAGGTTTTCTTTGTTTGCTCCTATGTTTCCAACTGTAATAAAACCAGGAACAGATAAAAAGCATAGTGCTCTGAAACAAGAGAGCCCAAAATTTGCACCAGTATGTCATTTTAATAGACTGTAACATTAAAAAAACTGAATGGGGAAAAATGACACCAGAATGTATACCACACACATTTTATGCCATATAATGCTATGTTTTATTTTTCTTTTATTGTGGTAAAATGTGACTTTCAGATTAAAATTACCTTTTCCTTGAAAAAAATTAATAAAATCAATACCTATTAAAAATTAAAAAAATAATAAATACTAAGTGAGAGCATTTTAAGTAAATGACAGCATCTAGGAAGACCTTTGTATTAGTGGACTTGTCTTTTTGATCTAGGAATATTTGTCTTACATGAAAATCTTATTGGCAGTATTTATGAAAGTTGTTTCAGTATTAGGACAAATATCCAATTTGGGAAAGAAGAATGAGAATATGTTGCCAGAGTAAGAAGTTTGTCTACTAATGAATTAAAAAATCCAAGATCTTAGATCCAAGGCATAAAAATACTTGGAGGTATTAGTTTGTAGGCTGGATGATAATTTGGGAAATTGAAGGAGAGAGGCTAACTGGGGACTCTTTTTTTGTTTTTATTGAGATAGGGTCTCACTATGCAGTTCAGGCTGATCTTGAACTCACTGTGTAGCGCAGGCTGGTCTCGAACTCATAGCAATCCTCCTGCCTCAGCCTCCTGAGTGCTGGGATTACAGGTGTGAGCCACCACGCCCGGCTAAACTGGGGACTCTTAACACCATCTATTCACAAGTGACATTGGCAAATTGAGCCAGGTTTGTAATACCAAGTTGGCAGCCAAAGTTAATGTCAAAAAGTCAGTAAACTCCAGGGTTGCGTTTTTTCCCAGTTATTGCTCCAGAGGCTATCAGAAAAAAGAGAGGAAATAAAAAAGCCTGGCACAGTTCTTAAATAAAAGCGTGATCAGAAGTGCCTATTCTTATTTTTGACAAAATTCTGATAATCAGCTTAATTAGCTGATTTATCAGTCCTGGTAGATTGGAAGCTAGAAAGAGAACAAGGCAAATAAGGCAATAGGAAGAAATGAGAAATGGCTATTCAGCAGCTGGTCCTTCCCTGTCTGCAAATGTGTTCTCATCTGCACCATTACTTCCTCTTCTGTGCAGTCGAAGCAGATTTTTTTCCTTCCTGATCAGCGCTTCTGGAATCCCATTCCTCCTGCCTTCCAGGAGGCCTCATACCATTAAACATCTTCAACCTGTATTTCCTAGTGGCTTTCTTTCTCATCCTATGAACATTTGACCCTCCCGATAAACATATTTAATTTTCTTCCACCTAGATGCCATCTTTTCTTGTCCCTATATCTCTCTTCTAACTCCCTCTGTATTGTCCTTAAAGTATAAATAAGGATAATGTATATTAGAGATTACAAAATAGGAAGAAAGTACTCAAATGGGTAGGGGAACAAGAAGGAGAAATAAAGACAAAAGGAAAAATAAGAAAAGAAAAAACAGCTTTTGTAAATAAGAGGGAGAGGGATTGAACGTGGGCAGTAAGGGAATGGAGGAAGAAAAGGAATTCAGATAAGTCATGTACAGGTACAAAATCCTTATGATGAACGTGATCATTATGTATGCTTAAAATGTATCAATTAACTTAATTTTAAAAATCATTCTAAACTTCTTGAAATGAATTTATGTTCCCTATCCCAAGTTCTTAAGGTCCTAACCAGTCACTTCCCATTCATTCGTAAAGCTACAACAATTTGACTCATACACTTTGCCATCCATAGTGCTAGATCCCATGGACATTTTTGTTTTCATTACTGAGGATTGAACCTAAGACCTTTTGCATTGAGCTATATCCCTAGCTCTTTTTTCATTTTTTAAAGGTGCTGAGAATTAAACTTAGGACCTTGTGCTTGCCAGGCAGGCGCTGTGCCACTGAGCTATATCCCTGGCCCTCTGATCTTTTCATTCTACTTGCCCTCAATGAGAAATGTCTTTGTTCATGGTTTTAGGTAC